TGATATTGCTCTGAAGAATAGCAACAACACCACAGGAAGAACGTAAAGCGGACTGATCCCCAAAAGATAACGAGGAATAAATTGAAAAAAATTGATAGCTGAATACAAATCTTGTGCGTAGGTATATTATATAAAAATAAAAACTAAAACTGCTAATTTCCTCTGACCGGAAATGGAGTAGGAAATTGAAGTTTGAAGTTTTAGCCTATTCATTGGGTGAGTGTTTTTTCTGAAAAGGAGAACGCAGGGTGGGATGGAAAACTCCCAAAAAAGAAGTGGCGAGCGGAACAACAGAAAACAATGAAATTACTTGTCCGGAATTCGATAATTACGAGTTGTCTCTTTTGAACGAAAATAAAATGTCAAGGAATATCTGATATCTGACACTGGCGAATGGGGGAGGAAATTGCATATTAGTAGGGTGAGGACTTCTGCAAAACTAGTGGACCATGTAATTTGCGCTTTTGATTAATTTTGTTTTTTTTTTTAATTTTAGACGTGTAAAAATCACCAAAAAAACTACTGATACAACACATTTTCGTTGATTCGACCATTTTCACTAGTCTGGCTCTGATGTTAAGTTTCCGATCACTTTGAAAATCCAGGATGGTGCCAAACGGACTTAGATAAACAAAATTGCATTCACAGAATTTTTTGAAAATTAATAGTTTTCCAGCAATTTGCAATTTGCTGAAAGATATCAATTTTATTCATTTTTTCAATTTTTTAAAATTCATTTTTGCTTGAAGGGTGTCTTCCCAATATTGGCAAGTAGCTGAAAAACTAGGAACATCAAAAAATACTGTGGATACAAAGTGTTCAAAGTTTTCTAAATGATAGGAAAGTTGACAGCCGAGCTCCAGGTTCCTGAAAATCGTCAAACATTACCGACGATCGGCTGAAAATAGGTTTGTTTCAAAACCTTTTGCAGAATAGTTCAGAAGAGTACAGTTGTCTGATTGACTTGAATTGGAGTTCTGTTTATTACTGGATTTTCATTAATACGTACATCTTTCTTATGAAGTTGGAGCATGAATTCTTAGTTTTCAAAATAAAACGTCAAAATTACAGTGGGGATTGAAACAAAACCTGTAATAGAACAGTCCATATATTATTAACTTTGACCCAATTCATTTAGGTTTTTGTTAAATACATTAGAAAGAAATTGGCATAAGGACAGTAGTCCGCAATAATTCCTTGGAAGCTAAGATGCTCTGTGTCGAAATTGACAAAGTTAGTGCCATTTTGCTAGCGTTTTTATGGTATTCTAATCTTCAATACTAATTTTTTTTAACAATATGAAAAAATCGATATAAAAAGCATATTCACAATAAAGAATAAGGCGTGATAGCGACGGAAAGAAGCCAGCAAATTGTCGGGATGTGCTTTATCGATATAAGAGTATGAAAAGAAGAATACTTTGTTCTCGTCACATCCACCTATGATTTAATCCTCCCTTTCCAGCCCCGTAATCTCATTTTTTTCGCGCCAAAAAAGTACAATGGGAGAAGAGAGAAAAGATGAGCCATGTGATTTATCACTTATCACTTTTTTCTGGTCATGTCAGTGTGAGCTAGGAAAAAATAGGAGGAGGAACCAAAGCATAGGGGACCGAGCACATGTAGAATAAGTTTCCAGAAAATGTTTTTTTTTGTTGCAGACAGGAAACTAATTTTGACTAATTAGAATGCAGAAATTTTAAAAACGAACCATCCTTTTTGCTGTTTGAAGCAGGAAAACAGAAATTAAATGAGCAATTAGAAAACTCTAATAAGGATAAAGTTCAAGAGCCTGAACTAATTAATTAGAAAAAGAAGAACTATTCATGCAAAAAAAATTATCACCAGCTGAGATGCAAAACGTCATGAGAAATATTTTTTGCGAAAATGAAACAGTTCAAAACAAACTTTCAACCAAAATTTTTTAAAAATTCACTTACCGATGGAAATTTGTGTGACGCCCGAAGAGACATTTCGCGAAGAATATGTTGAAGAAACTGGGACAATGTCGATGATACACTCATGTTTGATACACTCCGACGGTTACCACTTTGATAAATTAGAATTTCGCGGCTCGCCGTATTCTCTCCTGTGAACTTTGTGCATACAGTGGAAGAAGAAGTATGTGTAATGACTTCTTCTTATTCTTTTTTCTTCTTCGTGTATGCACATGTAGAATAAGGATGAAGGATGGGGCACATACACACAACAATTTGCTCTCGACACCAGTAGTTTTGCATTATGTATGAGATATGTGCACTTATTCTAATCAAAAAACGACGAGTTCAATCTCATTAATGTTTGTTGTTTTTTTTCTTTCTCGAAAAGTTGAGTGACTTCTTGTGACTTCTTGCAACTTTTCATGGTTCGGTTGTTCCACTTCTAAGAGGTGTGTCCAGGTTGGCTTTTGGTCTGAACGTGGTTCGGAGCGTATAGAAGAGTTCTTCCAAAGGTAAACGATTTTCTAGGTTTCGTTCAGTTTGTTATCATACCGTAAATGCTCTAAATCAAGCCCTTATACGTGCAGTTTAAGCTGAGATATCTCATTTCCTTCAAAAGATATTAACAAAGTTTTGACTGATAAATCATTTACCGAAATTTCACAAATAATTCGCCAGTGGACCGATTTGTGATGATTATCAAAGGGACCGAAATAATTCAACTCAAAGTGAACATATAGGGTAGACTTCTATTGGAGCATTTCACGTACATATGTTGACTTTTTTCTGTAGAAGAGTTTTGGTAAAAGAAATTCTCTTGAAAGCTTCAAATCATTGCTCCAAATGTATCAATTTTAAACTTTTTAGGTTGGAAGGAAAGTAAATGTCCCATTTCGTGAATAACACAAAAACAAGAACTATCAAGGATTGAAAGTATGCGCCGTCGTGGTCCAAGACATGCTGACATCATTCAGGTAAATTGTGGATACCGTCCCTCCAAAAGCCAGCTGGCCGCGAATCAAAGCATACCTTCTTAGCCGTTATATCTTATCGACAGTGTAAAATTATTCTTCCTCCAGATGACTTTGCATATCTCCCAATAACCAATAATGAAAGGAACAAGTCTGGGGTTTACGGAAAGTGGAGAGCCGTCCATCCAAAGCGGCTTAGGAATGAATTGTTCTTTAAATAAAGCGAGATCCTATGTTCCACGGGAAGTCAAGTAAGACATGGGCCGCTTCAGCTGGACGATTCTTCTTCACGCCCCTCAAACTCCTAATTTGGCCCTTTCATTATTGGTTATTAGAAAATATGCAACGTCATCTGGTGGAAAATAGTTCAAAACTGTAGTTGAAATGAAATCTGAACTTGAAAACCACTTTGAGTCGCGGCCAGCTGGCTTTTGGAGCTATAGTATTCACAAGTTATCTAAATGTTGTCAACATGCCATGGACAGTGACGGTGCATACTGTCAATCTTGGATAATTCTTGCTTTCTTGTTACTCACGAATTAAAAAAATGGACAGTTACTTTCCTTCCAACCTAATAATTTATAGAGTATAACAGATTAGAGCTTCATTTTTGTACCTGACTGTATTTCTGAAAACTTTTAAACAAAGCAAGAAGTGAGTGCGATTCTTGAATGACAAATTTCAGAATTGGTTTTTACATTTTCAGCACGTTTCTGATTACAAACTGTATATCTCCTCAGAATGGACTTTGACTAAAACGTTGTCGACTAAAATGTCATGATCTTATACAATACCAGTCAATAAGATATGTAAACACACTTTTCCAGTTGATTTTCGGCCGTTTCGACCATTTTCATGAGTCTGGAGTTTGGTTCTCAAGTCTTGGGTCACTTTGAAAACTTTTATGAGTGTAATAGAGACCTAGATTGAAAACTTTGAATTCATAGAATTTTTTGAAAATTCCTAGATTTCTGCTATTTGGCAATTTCTGAGAGACACCCTTTTTCAGTTTGTGGGACTCCAAAGATAAATATATTTTTCTGAAACTGTCGAAAAAATTATTTTTTTTCTGTCCTGTACTGTGTATTCCATGATCCGGCACGATGAAACCGCGCAGCTGCAATGTTATGTTAATAATCAGCTTTTCAAAAAATTTATAAGCATTTTCTACGATTTAGAATTGTTCATTGTAGTGTTTTTTCAATTTTCTAAAATCACTATCAACCCAAAATCCAATTCTGATAAAACCAATTAAATCTTATTCTATCAAAAATACAAAAAACAATTGACCAAGGAGGGTAATGATCCCCAACTGATAACTCTCCACCGGTTGGCGCATGCTAACCACTACACCATCCCTGGTCGGTATTATATGAATGTTTATGAGGAGAGATAATCGAAGCAGTGGGCGACGTAGACGCGCATCCATTGATGATAACAAACAGCTTCCACATATCATTTGTACAAGAGGAGGCTATCAATCACTATTAAGTGATTAGTGGTGATTCCTTATTGATCTAAACAATTGACATAAAAGTTTTGATTTTTATAATTTTTTCATTATATCAAGATTAACGGTAAAATGACACATTATTCTAAATTAGGTTTGAAAAACAAAATTATAATTATAAGAAAAAATACAAATAGGAGAAAAAAGGAGTGAAGATCGTTTTAAGTTAACTGATTGAGGAAAATTCATTTTTTTAAAATAAAATCATTCTCAAAAGTTTTCACACTAACCCTAGTGGAGAGTAAAACAAGCGAATTCATACAAAGAAGTTCATACAACTATATTGCACTCATGGAAGAAAACAAAACAAATTTGGTCGAGGCTTATTTAAACGATCATCGAGAACAAAATGCATGTTGTTTGTTAGAAAAAAAGAAAATGGTGTTCGAATTAGACCGGGATGTAGAATAAATGGGTGTGTGGATAAGTGAAACAGTACGTTTGAGAGTAAAATGTTCATGAACTCGTGTGTTGGAGGGGGGAGCGGCGTGGGGGATAGATAGAGAAAGAGGTAAGTGTTAAAAAAATAGGACCTAACCATGAAGATGGTAACAAAAGGAAACTTTCAAAAAAAGGAAGTTTAGTCTTTGAGAAGAGCGTCTGGACTTTCTCGTTGTCCTGGTCGGTAGGCTTGCTTTTTGTCTGAAATTTGGAAATCTTGAATTCTCAAAACTTTTTCTAAAATTAGGAAATTTTTCGGCCTTAAAATTAATTCTCCTTTTTAGATAGATAGTCATACCTCAAAACTTTTATTGCAATCCCACATACGAAGTTTGAAACATTGAATTTTAGGAAAAAAAAAGAAATCTTTTTATAAACTGTTGCAAAAATCATAATATTTGTACTCTTTGGCCTATACCTCTATTTCTAGGTACAGTACCGTTCAATAAGACATAAAAAAACGGATTTTCAGTTGATTTTTGCTATTTTTATCTTTTTCAGGAGTCTGGCGCTTGGCTGATAAGTTTCCAATATATTTGAAAAATTTTGGAGGTATACAATATACCTAGATTGAAAACTTTGCCTTCTCAGGATTTTTGAAAATTCATAGTTTTAAGCTATGTGCAGATCGCTGGAAGTCACCTGTTTATTACGTTTTCAGTGCTAAAATGGGTCAAAAATAGATGTCTTTCGGAAATCGGCAAAAAGCTGAAAAACTAGGAAGTTCCAAATTCTGTGAATGCAAATTTTTCAATCTCGGTCTGTATAGCGTCGAACATTTTCAGATTGATGAGAAACTAGACAGTTCAGCTCTAAGCCCCAGAAAATTGAAAACAGAGCCGAAAATAAATTGAAAAATTGGTTTTTGTATATCTGCTCGAGTATGAGATTTGGAAACTTTTGTTAAAAATTTAGCAAATAATCTATTAAAAACTCACTATTGGCCACTTGTAGAAAATAATTGCCGAGATCAAAATCAAAAGCAAAACCGTAATGGATCCAAGAATAATCAAGGCGGTTCTCATTCCGAAGAACGAGCTCTCCGAGAATGGGACAGATGGGCGAGAATCCGACGAGGTGGTCACCTCGATAACACTTCTAGATGAGGTCACAATATCGTCGGCGGCTTTGGTGAATGTGATAATCTGAAATTTTCATATGTATGGATGTCGAGCAAGTACAGTATACCTTAGTAGTAGTGGTGTCCATTCTAGCGGTGCTTGAAGGGAATTTCTGCCGCAATTGTGGAGTGGTGGCATAGTAAGTGTCTGGTGGCAGTGAGGAGCCCTGAAAAGAACATCTGTATGAAGAGATCCATTTAAAACAACACGTATGTACATGTCTTATATTCTTTTATTTGATCAGTCCCTTGCTTCTTCTCGTAGTACTCAAGTAGCCTTGACCTATAGAGAAGTCTCCCCCGGCGGTACGTGAAACCTAAACCCTCTTGTTGGACACACTTTGTGTCGAAGAGTCAAAAAGACAGGAGGTGAAAGCCTGAGATTCGAGAAACAAGTCAAACATTGGAGTCGGTGTGAGCGGCTTTTGTCTCCCGCCGCACAATCTTACAGCTTGTTGAGGGAGAGAGCTTTCCGAACGCCTGTTTTAAACAGGGTCTCGTTTTGTTTGACTTTCTCAAGCACAAAACGTAAAAGAGGAGTTAACTATTTTTCCCGCCACCTCCCATGAGTTTTCTCATATGGTGCTTACCCCTCCGATGGAATTCGAAGCCTTCCTCCACTCAAGACGCACACTAATCCTCCTTACTGTCACCTCATCAAGCACCTAGTGTAGCGCGCCGTAATTGTCAGTAAAATTGATGCACAGGTGTGAGATGATGAGGATGGTCCCTCTATTCAATACGTCTGCTACGGTAATTCCTAATTCAATTGTGTACTTATTGCGTGTGTAGACGCGTATTGTTGCATCAGAAGGGCTCGAACAATACCCTACGGACCAGAAAGGGCAAGGTGTCCTCTTGTATTTATCATTTTTGGCACATTTTTGATAAAAAGGTCATGGAGAAAGGTGTGATAAGAATTGTTATTGCCTTACCTCCAAGTCGCTGTCTTCGTCGTCAGTGATACCATTGGCACTTCCTTCTCCGACGTGCACACGTTCTTCCTCGTCAATTGACTGAGCGAAAATCAGTGTGGCAAAGAAGATCAAGAGAAGGACACTCGTTTTCCTTAGCAGCATTCTGTAAATTTTTATTTTTGGAATTTTTGGAGTGCAAATCCGATTTCGATATAAAATGAAATAAGAAATCTAAATTGGGTAAAACAATAATTCCGTTCAGATGAAAGAAACAAAGAAAGAGACAATGGAGGTCATAATAAATAAGTTATATAACTTAAGGACCACGGGTCGAACATTTGGGAAGAAAGAAGGAGGGTCGGCAAAAAATAAAAGAGCCGAAGATTGATGAAAAATGGAGTAGTACACCTGGATGTAATACACCTAGATACAGAGGGGAGAAATTCGTGAGAAGTAAAACTGAAAGTAGGGCAATTTTAAATTAAATAAAATCCATAAAAAGCGTTTTTTTTTGAAAATCATTATCAGGAAATATCAGAGAAAACTCCTTACACAAAACTGAAGACGTCTAAAAATGTGACAACTATTTTTTTTTCGAATTTTTAAAATACCAAAACAACAATATCCATTCAACATTCGGTCAAAAGATATAAAAAAATATATTTCAGTTGATTTTCGGCCATTTTGACCATTTTAAGAATCCTGGAGCTCGGCAGTCAAGTTCTTTTGGACAGTATAAAACATCCCTAAGTTGAAAAATTGCATTTACAGAATTTTATGAAAATTTTATAGTTTTTTTGAGGAATCGACAAATAACTTAACTTCTAGCAATTTTAGAATAGAACTTCCAAAAAATTGTTTTCTCAGAACGGATTTTCTAAGCTTTTGCAAATAACTGGAACCAATGGAAACCGCCACAAAAAGCTTCCAAACCTAACTACCTAAAATTATTGACTACATTATGCCGATTTGAGGAAAGGTGTCGAGAAAAGAATAGGAAGAAGAATAAAAGTGAGCAGCAGACTGTATGTGTATAATTAGAGCGTGGGGCGGGTGGTGCGCATCGTTTGGACGGGGGACACTCTCTGCTCATGCACGGGAAAAACGGACGGGAGGGTTAGGACGAGGGGGCAGGTGGCATGGGAACAAAACCACTAGGCGTTTAAGGTTGATCTTGTTAGTCGACTTGACTTTACCAATAACTAAATTGAGGGGTTGAAGAGGCCTGCTGGCTGGGGAGTGTTTTCTACATCGAAAAGTAGTCCTTACAAGCCGGATGTGAATCAGAAATTGTCTTTCTTCATGTTCTATCATGAAGAAGATATCAAAACTGTTGTTTTTTTTGGGTGTCTGGTTGACAAGAGAGAGAGAGAGAGAGAGGTAAGTCAAGGGTAGTGAGTAATCAACGCGCTAATTTCTATTGTCAACATTATTTCAACAGATTAGCAATGTCTTCTGACTACTGTACAAGTAAAAAAAATAGTTATCATGCAACAAATTATTTCATAATAAACGGAATTGAATGTTATGATATCATAATTATAATTATATCATATGATTTTTTTGGATTGTACGTTTTTCTAAAAAATTGTTTCAATTGAAAAAAGTTTGATAATTTTGGGTACTACAACGTTCTCCTATTCAAACCACAGACTGATAATACAGAAGTAGGAGTGTCGAACTTGATTTTAATTATAATCGGCTTATCAAAAATTGGTAAATCATATTTCTAGCTCTTTTCGCCCAAAACCAATAAACACAGCCATAAATTTTCGACTGTTTTGTCTTTATACTCTCCAATTTCTCACTTGAGAAAAGGGGTATGATAACGAATATGTATGAATCAGAATATGATGCGTACGGTGTACAGGGCACAAATATCTTTTATCTTTTCGGTTGGAGGGGGACGACGAAGACCTTGGAAGACAGTGTGTAGGTGAGGGGGGGGGGGGGTCTCTGTGACGTTTCAACTGGCCCCTGCCAGTGATCAGCGACGATGATGAGGCCTGCGCATGAGCGTAAGACGCCACACGAACACATTAATCTTGGCCGTAATTTTCTCACCAGTTTTAATAATTACTACTTTACAGTACGACGGCCTGTCTGTGTGGTTTTGGTTCTGAAGCTGGATGGATGGACAAATCAAAATCCAACAGTATAATTTCATTTTCCGCAAAGATTTGAACAATAATAGTTAAGTTACTACAATTACACAACAGTACCGGTCAATATGATATAGAAAAGCGTATTTTTAAGTTAATTTTTAGCATTTTTAAAATCCCGGAGATTGGCTGTCAAGTTTCCGATCACTTTCAAATTTTCGGAGAGTGTAAAATAGTCCTATATTGAAAACTTTGCATTCACATAATTATTTGAAAATTCCTAGTTTTACAGCTACTTGCCAATTTTTGAAACAAACCTATTTCGGCCTGTTTTTCTCCAGGCAAAAAGGATTGACATCGTCAAATTGCTGAAAAGCTAGGGATTTTCGAAAAACTATGCGGATGCAAAGTTTCGATCTAGGTCTATTTTCAACTCTTCGAAATTTGAAAAGTGATCGGAAACTTGACAGCCGAGCTTGAAAATTCTGAAAATGTTTAAACTAGCAAAAATTATTTGAAAAATAACTTTTTGTATATCTTATTTACCGGTACTGTTTGTTGTTTCTATATTTGTCGTACTTTTCAAAAGTTTGAAAAGTTTAACTGTGTAGCTGTTTAACTGTGTAGCTTTAACTGTGTAGCTGTCCACTGTAAAATCACAACCGTTAAGAAAACCTAGGATGTCTATTGAAATGCAAATTAAACTTGCAAAAAACTGAGATTTGAAAGAAGCAAGAACTTCAAAAGAACGAGTAAGATAAGAATAAATTAATGAATAAAAACGAAAAGAATAAAAAACACAGAAAAAAGTGTGATTTTTCTCTCTCTAATTGTTTTGGATCTTGACTGATCGGTTCGAAAAAAAAACGATGATCCATCATTTTCTTACGACAGGTTTTGCATTCAGTGTTTGAATTTCAAACTTGATGTGTAGGAGTATTGAAATTTCCAAACTTAACAAAAAGATTTGTTCAAAAAACAGGAAAACAATTACAAAATTTTTTTTCCAGATTTCGACATTTTTGAGAAAAGTTCTTTCAGTAATTTCATTTTTTGTTAAAAAAATTATAAAACACTGAATTTGAATTTGTTAATTATGAACTCTCAAAAACCAATATGAAACTCTGAAAATGATTTTTAGAGATTTTCAACAGATACGGTAAACAAACGTTAAATTTTGAGCCAGTTTATCTCGGTTCCTGTAGAAGATATAAAGATGTGGTCAACTGATAAAATATTTGTTTACATTCAAATGAATAATTGTTCAGTTAACAAGTTTTTGATATCTTTCACAGGAAACGATATATATGGGCTTAAAGTTAACGGATTGGGGCGGGAGAGGGTTATCTTTGTTTGTCTTTTTTTGGTTAATCAGATTTTTTGAAAATAACAATCCAAGAAAATTTTTATTGAATTTTACTTCTAAATTCAAACTATAGATGTAGTAAAAAAAAACTAAAGTCAGTCCAATTCACACCTTCTTCGCAAGCTATTTTCCTCCGCATTGACAGTGAGTAATTAGCGCTAACCAGCTTTAACCGTTTTGAAGGTCGGCTTAACTAGTCGTCACATTTTTTGTAGGATTTCAAAGCTGCCTTTCACTCAATTTAGAGAATACCAAGGCCAAAAGACATTCAGCCTCCGATTCCAAAACAGTACAAGTTATAAAGAAAAGGAGGAACAGAACGGTGTATATATGTTACAAAATTCAATAGAGCGTGGAACAATTGAAACCGGGTAACAAGCAGCAAGTTATGCGTGAACACCAAATCGCTTGTCTTCGATGGAACCTATTTTAAACGGAATAATGATGATGATGATGAGCGGAAGAGAGAAAGAGAGGTGAAATCTGATTTTTCCGGAGGAGGAATCTTTTCTTTTCTTTTTCTTCCCAGATGAAACGACAAGATATCCCATTGTCGGTGCCCTTTCAACACTTCTCCGGACACATGCATGTTTTGCGATTAAAATGATTCATGAGGTGGCTAAAAAGGGTGGCTAGAAAATGCGAACGGTGGGGTTTGCGTTTAAGAAAACTAATTTAGAAAGTGTCAAGCGAGGTGGTCACTAAAAATGTGTTGGTTCTAAAATACGAGAAATTGAGTTTGCAGTGCCAGGGTCCAAATGTTCAATGTGTCCCCAGAGGGCTCCCCTGGTCAGTTTTATTGCCGTGAGAACATGGTGTTTTCGGAAAATTGAATTTTTTGGGACATTGTCAAGCTAGTAGCGAAAAAACAAGCGGAATGTTTGAAACAATATAAAAGGCAACAATCTGACGCCTTCTGCTGTCCACACCCCATACCAAAAAGTTGTCAGTTTTGATTAGCTGCTGACATATCATGACAAGCCGCCCTGTCTTTTTTCATACATGAGGAGAACATGAAAAATGGAAATGAAAAAGAAAAGAAAAAAACAAACGAGAGCGAGGTGAATCATGTTAGATTCTTCCCATATTTGCTTTTTAAAATTTCTTTTTTTCCGCTATCAGTTAACGTTGTGGCGGGCGATCTTTTGAAATGGTTGAATTGATGGACTTATCGGTTTAAAAAACGTGCGAGGTTTGAAAAAACAAGAATTTTGCAAAAAAGGAACCTCGACATCTTTGTTCAGTATATATTTTTTGGATTTGCGATTTAGGGTTTTCTATAAACTAGTTTCAAAAAAGGGAACCTGTCAGGATAGGTTGACTATCTGAGATATCCAAAAAAATTAACATCCATTTGCGAGTTCCAGCCGAGATATCTGTTTCAATACCAAACCTTGCGTTTTTAGTGAAAAAAGGGATTTTTTAAACGATTTTCTCTACTTCCAGGACGCTTTAGACCATGAAACTTGTCGTGTCATGCTCAGAATTCAATGAAATTTCATATTTCAGACAATATTTTGAAACATTTTTATTCGAATTTTCGAATTTTTCCACCCCTTTGGTTTATTCAAAAATTCAAAAAAAAACTATTTTGTGAAAATTATCAGAAATATAAAATTGCCTTAAATTTAAAGTACAATAAAACAAATTTCATGTTCTGTAACGTCCGAGAAATTAAGAGAAAGTCTTTGAAA